AAAGTATGATAAAGGACTAATTTTCCCTGTGACCTGCTAACATCCATGACAGTGTGACAGTGGCAATATGTAGAAAACAAAGCTAAATAAAAAACTGCAGCACTCGGGTTCACTGCCTGTCAGGGGTGCTGAAACTCAGGTGAGGTCAAAATTACAGACCTGTCCGAATAAGAATGTCTTCTAGGAGGCAAAGCTTAGTAAAATTCAATGAAATCACGAGGCCCACTCAAGCTCTCTTAAGCCATGTAAAGAACCGATAGTTAAATTTTTGCACAATCAAATAAGTAGGCCCACAATGCCATTAGAGTTCATCCATCCTCTCACTTTGATTCCACTTTTGAACAGGATTAATTAAAAATAAGGGAAAAAAGCTATATTTTGAAAAGTGATGTGATAAAGGAAAGGTGATTTCGATGAGTAATTAGTCAATAATTTACATAAAAAGCAAATGGATATAATCAGGGGCAAATTATGACAGGAAAGGCTAAAAAACAGAATGAGAGGGAGTTAGAGTTACAAGTCTTACCGTGCTCTGGCCCGTTTGGCTTGCTCATGAGTACGTGCAGCTGCTTCACTAGCCACGGCTGCTAGACGTTCAGACTCCTTCTTGATACGCTTATCACGCCGTTTTATGTATGCAACCAGTTGGCGCACTTCTTCATTACGCTGTTTGCGAGCGATTTCACGTTCACGCTGATTTTGGGCTTCAGTTGCACGGCGTTCCTTCGATAGAAGCAGAGGAAAGTTTGAATACATATCAATAATTAGAAAGTGATGAAAACATTTTTTGCTAAGTATTCGAAAAATGACAAGTGAAATGTTGGTTGTCATAAAGTAACAGAATGTGAGAGAGCTATTGAAGGACTGGTTTCATGGGAACTACGTTAAGCGTCCCTTAGTAATATTGCTGTGCTAATTAGTAGAGTATGTAAGTAGTAAACTAACAATATAAAAATAGAGACTGGAAATAAGCATTGACCAAAGGCTGATTAAGTGGTAGATTATGATTGTTTAACTTATAGTGTATAGTTTACAATATATGGTTAATTAAATATCAGAACCTAAAAGATTGTCTAGATCGAATATACAGAACAAACAAAAAACTGCAGAAATAAATGTAGTGCATCATCAAGAACTTCAGATAAAAATAAGCTTTGGGTAAATATAAAACCTATTTCTATCTAAACTACAGCAAATATATATATATA